CCGCGAGCCGCGGTCGCGCTCTCCCCGAGCCGGCGCACCTGCAGCGCGCTCCCGCCGGCCGGCCTCCTGGCCTCCAGGGCCCTCCCTCCCCCGGCCGTGGGCCGCGCGCCTCACCAGCGGTAGCAGCCCTCAGAGGCCTCCAGCGTGAAGTTCACGCGCGTGGCCCGCGTGAAGGGCAGCAGCACTTTGGGGATGTTGAGCTTGGCCGCCGCGGCGATGGCGCCCAGCGCCAGCAGCACCGAGAGCGCGTGCAGCAGCAGCGGCAGTCCCCGGCCCCGCGCCGCCATCCTCGCCGCGCTTCACCTCCCGCGACCCGGCGCCTGTCCGCCCGCGCGCTCCCCCTCGCGCCCTCCTCCCCCGCCCGCGAGCGCCGGGCCAGCAGGTGATGAGCGCGGGAGGGAGGAGGCGGAGCAAGGGCCGCGGCCTAGGGCCACTTCCTGGGCCCCGGCAGGGCCCGAGCGCGGGAACTGAGGGGGCCGAGCCCGCGGCGACCCCACCCCCGGCTCGGGCCCGCGCGCCCTCGACCACGCCGAGCGGAGGGAGGGTCTGGAGCGCGCGCGCCCTCGGCCACGCAGTGCGGGCGGGGGAGGGGGTGGGTAATGAGATGGGGCACACGCCCCGGGCCACGTGGGGAATCGAGCCCGAGCCCGAGCCACTGTCAGGCGGGGAATGAAGGGCTAGGGCGCGCGCCCACGTGGGGTCAGCCTGAACTCGCGCGCCTGCCCGCCACCCCTCGACCTCGCGGGAATCGCTGCGCAGTTTTCTGGTCTACACGCTCATACCCGGTGGTTTCAAACTCTGGCTGTTACTGGGCGCCAGTGCGGAGCCTTCCAGCCATTCGTGCAGTCATTCATTCGGCTCTCTTCAGCGCCTCTAGCGACTGAGCCGGGCCTGGGCGCGGCGCAAACGAGGCCGCTGAGCGACTGTGACCGTGACCGTGAGCTCGGTCGGAGAGACTGACCGTCAACACGCAAAGGGACAGGTACCCCGGAAATCTGGGATGAGGAGTGCCGAGGTGCACTTCGTCCCGGTCGTACTTTCCAGAAGAGGGACCCGGGTTCCGTAAGCGGCAGCAAACCTGCTGAAGCACTGAGGGCCGGCTGGGGGCTTCCTCCCACTTTAACCTCCATACAGCCTTGCCAGAGAGAAGTTATGATCCCCATTTCTCCAGAAGGAAACAGATTGAGTGGCCCAAAGATCACCCAACAAGAAGGGCAGCGCTAGGGCTCTCAGATCCCAGAGCCCTATTTTCTGTATTCTGTAAGTCCTAGGGAGGTTACCCAAGGGGTGGATTTAGAGCACCAACACTGCCGGAGCACACTCTATCCCCTCTCCCCTCGGTTCAGCATCACTGAATTCGTCTGCATGCAGAAATCTTAGCTTTTAAACTCAGTCTACATTTTGTGCTCTGTGGTTTGTAGATGCCCGTGTCGTGACTTGCACAAGCTACATGAGCGGTGAGTTCAGAGGACACAAAGTGCACCAGTGCCTCTAAAATGTTCATCTATTGCGGGGCGGGGGGATGGGGGGCAGTCTAGTGGGAGGTCAGGAAAGGGGTGGGGCGAGGGTGCACCAGTCCGGCTCTTGTAAAAGGTTCAGGAAGTGTGCACTGAATTGTAACCAGAAAGGCACGTATTAATGCCACTGCAGGACAAGGAAGGAGACCCTGAATTTCAGTCAGGCTGGGAAGGCTTCTTGGAGGAGGTGGCCCCTGGGCTGGGCATAGATACCTTACTGGGATTCAGAGAGGCACACATGTGTCTGTGTTTGCCCCCCAGGGGTCATCGGGCTTTTGGATGGTAATGAGGTGTGTTTTGGGGTCAAACCCTTAAGATCCCAGACCAGGGAATGTGTACATTAGGGGAAATTAGATCCCAGAGCTAGAGAGTTTTCCCTGTGTAGAACCAGGTACTCTGGGAGGGGAAATTCCAATAGGTTCTCTTCTCTGAATAAACAGAAGAGTTGGTATGGGAAAAGCAGCACCAGAGGGGGTATCTGTGAGGAAATTTTAGTGTTCTTCTTTTCACATTTTATTCATTTTTGAGTAGGCAATACAGTCAGATGGTTCAAACTAAAAGAGTCAGATGGTTTAAACTAAAAAGGCCCCAAAGGGCTCATAGTAACAGTGACTGCCCCTCAGTAACAGTGACTGCCCCTCACTGTCCCATAACTGAATACTCTTCCCCATAGGCAACCAGTGTTTTCTGCTTGAGCAGAGAAATTGTAGACATGTATATATAAAAAACTCATTGTGTTCCAATTTTGCCCGCTTAAATTGGTAAACCAGGAGCCTTGCCAGGCAGGTAAATAAATAAAAGGGACAAGGCAGGGCATTAGGGGACTGGAGTGCTCTGGCCCATTAGGATCATGAGTTGCTGTGCCCTATCTTTCCAGATATTGTGATTATTGAAGAGAAATCAGGAACGTGGATTTTTTTTTCAGGTGAAATATCCTGAATATAAAATATGACAGTTCATTAAAAACAAACATACACACTCTTTGGCCATTTATCCTAGAAAAATGAAAGTTCATGTTCACACAAAAACCTCTACATAAAATGTTCATTGAATCCTTATTCAGAGTAACCCCTAAGTGGAAACAGCACAGAGGTCCTTCCATGGATGACGGTTAAACAGACTGTGATCCACCCATACCATGCAGTCCTACTCAGCAGTAAAGGAATGAGCAAGTGATACATGGACAGACACCTCAGATGAATCTGCGGGGAATTACAAGTGGAAAAACAGCCAATCCCCAGAGGTTACATACTCTGTGATTGCATTCATACAACATCCTTGAAGTGGCAAAGTTCTAGAAATGGTGAGCTGCTGGGTGATTGCCAACGGTGAGGGTCTGGCCAAGTGGGCCTGGGTGTGATGTGACTATAGACGGTCAACGGGGGACATCCTTGTGGTGATGGAAATGTTCTATATCTTGAATGTATCCATGTCAGTTTTCTGGTTACAGTATTATCCTCCGGTTTTGCAAGACATTACCATTGGTGGGCGTCTCCTCCCTCTCACCCTGCCCCTCCCCCCTTCCTGTGAGCTCTTTCTCTCTCTTTCAAATAAATAAAATCTTAAAAAAAAAAAAAAAAGAATCTGGGTAGGCACAGCTTGCTGACCCCCTTGTACGCTTCACTCAAGACAGGAAATTTCCCCTAGCAGAAAACAACCAATGGGAAACAACAAAATGATGGATAAAACATTTTCCCCTTCATCCCTCCTCCTTTGATTTAGTTGATTCTGAACCTAGTAATGGTTGGTGTCTGGGCCCATTCTGGCAGCCAGCCTTCTGTGTGTGATCTGATTCCACTGCCTTCCATTGGCCCCCTTCTCTGTGTCAAGTGCTTTATCTGAAATTCAAGCAGACAGTGGGCCTGAGCAGACCATCTTGCTCCAGGCATAGAGACTCTCCGGGATGGAAGGGACCTTAGATTTGTGTTAGACGGTTGTCCACGTGGTAAATAAAATAAGGAAATGTTTCCTGGTATCAGTGCCTCCCACACTTCTGCCATTTCCCCCCACCCTAAAAAAAAATCCTATGCTATCTGAATACCACCTGTACTATTTGTCTTTTTTTTTTAAGTAGGCTCCACACCCTACATTGCAGCCCAATGTAGGGCCCGAATTTGTGCTCCTGAGATCAAGACTTGAGCTGGGATCAAGAGTTGGACACAACCCAATGAGCCACCCAGGTACCCCTGTACTATTTGTCTTTAAATCAGATTGTTTACATACATGTATTTAAGAATAAAACTTTGTCACTTCTGTAAAGAGAAAATCAGTATCAGTTGCAAAAGTAGAAGTAGCCAAAAAATAAATACAATGAAAAAAAGGGATGCCGTCAAGTTACAAATAGACACTGTGTCCTGCCAAAGGCTCAGAACCCAAGGCCTGCAATATGATCAAGCACTAGACAATATCAAAGACAGACTGGCCCAATCAAAGGGCCTTGCTCCTTGAGTGGAGAAGGGTGGAGAGATAATTTAAAATGCAAGTAAGGGGCACCTGGGTGGCTCAGTCGATTAAGCATCCAACTCGTGATTTTGGCTCAGGTCATGATCTCACAGATCGAGGGATCCAGCCCCACTTTGGCTCCACACTCAGCAGGGAGTCTGCTTGAGATGCTCTCTCTCCCTCTGCTCCTCCTCTCTCTCTAAAATAAATAAATCTCTCTTTTTTTTAAAGATTTTATTCATTTATTTGACAGAGAGAGACACAGTGAAAGAGGGAACACAAGCAGGGGGAGTGGGAGAGGGAGAAGCAGGTTTCCTGCTGAGCAGGGAGCCCGATGCTGGGCCCGATCCCAGGACCCTGGGATCATGACCTGAGCCGAAGGCAGACACTTACCAACTGAGCCACGCAGGTGCCCCTAAAAAATAAATAAATAAAATAATAAAATAAAAAGGTAACTTTTTTCCTAGTGGGATGTCATATTAGAGCCTATCCACTATCTTTTCACAAAAATATCTTTTTTTCAGTTTTGCAATGGAGAATCTCAAACGTTTATGGTAGTAGATAGGGTAGTATAATGAAGCCCATGACCCTTTAGTCCCATGACCACAATCCATGGCCAATCCTGTGCCTTCTACAGATAGCTCGAAGCTCTGCCCCATGTCGTTTTGAAACAAATCCAAGGGATCTTATCATTTCATCTGTATGTCAGTGTGTGTATCTTTAAAAGGTAAGGGGTCTTTTATATATACACTATAACTACGATACTATTATCACATCTAAAAAATTAGCAATAATTCCTCAGTTATATCCAGTCAGTTCAAATTTCTAACTATCTCATAAATGTCATATTTTTTGTCATACTTTGTGTTCTAAGAATCAGGATCCAAGTAAGATTCATATATTGCAATTGGTTGAAATAAGCCTTTAATCTATAGGTTCCCCCTTTATCTCTGTTTCTCCCCTGGCGATTTGTGTGTTTCCCCTTTATCATTGGAGTAGAGGTATGTATTTCAGAGCACCCTCCTGCTGAGTCTGCCTGCCCTGTGACACACATGTGGGCCCCTGCCACATCAGCAGTGGCACCCTATCGCACAAGTCTGCAGCTAGGTTTTGGTCATGGAAATAGGAATGGGGGACCCAACGCGAACCTTCGGGGGTCTCTGAGCTGGACAACTCAGCATTTTGGAAAAATAAAAAAAATTAGGAAGAGGCTGGGAGCATTGGAATGGCTCCTGCCTTTGCAAAAATGATTTCTAAAACATCATCATGTGTAAGATAATGGTGCTTTTTAATTATAGAAATTGCTGTTCTTTATCAATGTGCAGACAAGCTGCCTGCTCGTGGATCCAACTTCTGTTCGTGCATTTACTCTCGCTCGGGAAGGTCTTCTCACACTTGCCACATTCATCCTCCGTCAGAATCCGTGGGCGTTTACTTCAGCCAATTAGCTTCTCACGGGCTGCTGAGCCCTTCACCCTAACCCCCTTGTTCCCTTCATCCCCAAGCACTGGACCACTGAGTAAGCTGATTGCAGCTCCACACTGTCAGACCCCCTTGGAAGCTCAGGCACACGTGTGTCATCCCAGTCCGTGAAGCCTGACACTGGCAGCCCTGGCTGGATACACAAGGGAGTCCTCAGACATCTCCAGGGCACCCAAACTGGAGGAGGGCAGATTCTACCCCTGGCTTCCCCACACTGCCCCAGCCAGCCACGCAGCTCCACACGGAGGCCAGAACAGTCAACACAGATCACAGCGCACTCCTCACCCGGCTGGCCCCCCAGAACCTCCCAGATGCCTTTGGAAGAGAATCCAAACTCCTTCCCATGGTCCTCAGGCCCTAAAAGATGTTCGTTCTTAGCACACAGTGTCACTTCTTACTTCTCCCTCCCACACCCCTCTCCCAGCCTGGATGCATCTAGATATCTCATGTCTCCAGTATCTGGCACTCTAGGGAGGATCATTTTTTGAATTTATTTTCAGTAATAAACATTAAATGCAACATAATAATGGCTGGGAAAACTATTTTTTGCTGTTTTATTGAACTTTAAGCAAGCCAGCAAAAAAAATTTTTAAAGAAAGTAAAATAAATATTACCCTCAAAAAAGGGAAAGACAGTAGATTGATAATTACATTAATGTATTTTTTTAACTTACATTTACATAGTTGCCTGTTGCAATAATGAATAACGTTAGCGTGTTCTAACCATTAAATTAAAAAAAATAACAATGAAAAAATAAATTTCCATTTTAGGCTAATATGCAGATTCAGTAAAATAGTTCAAGTATAAGGTAAGACTTGCACTTATCAAAAATGTTATCCCTTGCAGTTGGCACTCTGTTTCACATTTTAAAATTTAAACCAAATAAGGCGCCTGGGTGGCTTAGTCGAGTGTCTGACTCAGTTTCGGCTCAGGTCATGGTCGGGGTCCTGGGATCGAGCCCCAAGCCGGGCTCCGTGCTCAGTGCACAATCTGCCTGAGACTCCCTCTCCCACTGCCCCTCTCTCTCTCCCAAATAAATAAATGGATAAATCTTTAAAAAGATAAAAAATTTAAAATAAAATTTAAACCAAATAAGAATTATAAGTAGTTGCACAGAATGGCTGAATCACAAAAGGTTTTTTTCTTTGTCTTCACAATCACTATACTAACCTTGTTTATTTTGAAATTACCGTGTAAACATAGGAATGTGTATTGCCTTAGGGATTGGAGACAAGAACTATCCCCAAAGCAAATTCAAATGAAGCCCAAAACATTACCAACTTACTCTGGAAACAAACACATGAGCTAAATCCATGTGTCTGGGGAGCCAACTGTGTAACTAGGAGTTTTCTGAATTAATATCCATGTATAATACATTGTTTATTAAGGACAAGTTTTGTAAGTGTATTATTTTAGAGCTTATATGTTATTAAAATTTGACGGTGCACAGGCACCAAGAGTAAAAATAGATAAATTGGACTACATCAAACTTCAAAACTTCTACATGTCAAAGGATGTGATCAACAGAGTGAAAAGGTGACCTGCAGAATGGGAGGAAATATTTACAAAGCATCTACTGATAAGGTGTTAACATCCAAAATACATAAAGAATTCCTATAACTCAACAACAAAAACAAAACAATTAACTCAACTTCAAAATGGGCAAATGGGGAGCCTGGGTGGCTTAGTCAGTTAGCATCTGACTCTTGACCTAAGCTCAGGTCTTGATCTCAAGGTGGTGAGTTCAAGCTTCATGCTGGGCTCCATGCTGGGCATGGAGCCTGCTTTTAAAAAAAAAAAAAAGGTCAAAAGACTTAAGTTGACACTTCTCCAAAGAAGATCTATAAATGGCCAATACTCATATGAAAAGATTTTCAACATCATTATTCATTAGGGAAATGCAAATGAAAAACTACAAGGAGGTATCACTTCATACCCATCAGCTACTATAAAAATAACATGCACACACAAAACAAGTGTTGGGGTGCCTGGGTGGCTCAGATGGTTAAGTGTCTGCCTTCGGCTCAGGTCATGATCCCAGGGTCCTGGGATCAAGTCCCACGTCGGGCTCCCTGCTCCATGGGAGCCTGCTTCTCCCTCTGCCTCTTTCTCTCTCTCTCTCTGTCTTTCATGAATAAATAAATAAAATCTTTAAAGAAAAAAAAAAAACAAGTGTTGATGAAGATGTGGGGAAATTGGAGCACTTGTGCACTGCTGGTGGGAATGTGAAATGGTGCAGCCAGTAAGGAAACACCAGTGTGGTGTTTCCTCAAAAAGTTAAAAATAGATCTACTATATGATCCAGCAATTCCCCTTTTGGGTATTTACCCAAACAACTGAAAGCAGGGACTCAAATAGATATTTGTACTCTCACGTTCATAGCAGCACTATTCACAGTAACCAGAAGGTGGAAGCAACCTAAATGTTCATCAATAAATGAACAGATAAGCAAAATAGAGCAGACACATACAGTGGAATATTACTCAGCTTTAAAAAAGGAAGGAAAATCTAACACATGCTACACCACGGATGAACACCGTAAGGGACATAAACCAGTCACACACAAAAAAATACTGTGTGGTCTCACTTACATGAGGTCCCTAGATTAGTCAAGTTCATAGAGACAGATGTAGGACAGTGGCTGCCAGGGGCTGGGAGAGGAGAATGGAGAGTTGTTTAATGGAGACAGAGTTTCAGTTTTACAAGAAGAAAAAGTCTAGAGATTGATTACAAAACAATGTGAATATGCTTAAACTGTGCACTTAACCATGGTTAAGATGACAAATTTTGTTATGTGTATTTACCACACACACAAAGAAGAGATTTTTTTAACCCCCTCAACAGTAACCACAATAATTCCTTAGAACTCAGAACTGCTGGAGTTTTTTCAGGGATTTGTGTGTTTTATCACTGTGATAAATAATAAATACACACTGGCATTGTTTAATAGTGACTGTGCATGGTGATATTAAAAAGCAGATGACCTTCAGTCCATTTTTATTACTGTTTTTAAATTCTCTGTAGATAATACAACCTCTTACTACCTGCAACTAGAGCAGACCACTCCCACTGCCCACCTTTGGATAATGCTTACTTTGATGCCCTTGCACTTGCTGGCCAGATCCTGGCTCTGCTACCTATCACTGTGTGGCCCTGAGAAAGTTACTTAGTGATATTTTCAGCTATCTGTAACATGAAGACTTTCATAGCATCTCCCTCACAGAGTCAGGAAAAGCATTTGATCAGGCTCCCTCCTCAGCGGGGAGCCTGCTTCTCCCTCTGCCTGTCTCTCTCTCTGTCTCTTATGAATAAATAAATAAAATCTTTAAAAAATTTTTCTTAAAAAAAATAAGAATACATGTAGAGTGCTCAGGACAGTGCGTAGAACAGTATTCAAATATTTACTCTGCTAGGAGTCCTCTACTCCCTTTCATCAACTGACAAAAACACCTATCCAGATTTCTTTAATTTGAAAAGTTTGCCAACATTTAAAAATCAGAGTATTTGATATGAGGTCTGGATTTATAATCTCTGTTGAAAAATCAGAAGCTCTGGCAACCTTGGGCCTACCTATATTCCCACATGGCAATGCTATGCTGGAAATCAGTGGCAGCCACCTTCTAAAAGAAGGATTTGTGACCTCTCTGGTTTGCCACACTCCCCACCACTCCCTACTCCTCCCTGTCAGCTTTAATTGTTTCCATTACCTACCAGCCCAGTAGACCTTTGAGTATGTGGTCCTTGTACAAGACTCATCTATTACTTATCCCCTTGCCCTAGTCCCCAGACCTGCCCCTTAGGTGAATTAAACAGAAACCACTTCCTCTCCTGGAGCCTGAGTTTTCTGGAATGACAGATGGGACCAACAATGTCCACCTCAAGGGAGTATTAAAAATATCAGGGGTGCCTGGCTGGCTCAGTCGGTAGAGCATGAGATTCTTGATCTCAGGGTTGTGCTTGAGCCCCACATTGGGTGTAGAGATTGCTTAAAAATAAAATGTTAAAAAAATATACTGAAGAATATATTTAATATAAAAGCATTTGGTAGGGATGCCTGGGTGGCTCAGTTGGTTAAGCATCAGACTCTTGATTTCAGCTCAGGTCATGATCTCAGGGTTATGAGATAGAGCCCCAAGTGGGGCTCCTGGCTCAGCATGGAGTCCGCTTGGGATTCTCTCTCTCTCCCTCTCCCTCTGCCCTTCCCCCGTCAAATAATTTTTTTTAAAAAGCATTTGGTAACAGCA